AGCCGCCGGCTCCCTCCACAGGGCCCCTTGTCCCCAGAGAGGGGAGGTGGCGGCTGTTAGCAGCGCCTGGCAACGCTCCTTCAGGAAGACTCCTGGCTGCAGTTGAAGCTGCCATGATATGGGCCCGGCTCTCTGTCTGGCTTAGAGGGAACGTTGGCCTCCGCACCTAATTTTTTCCATCCATGTGCAGAATGCATTTTGTTTGCTGCACTGACATTTGTGTGAATGTGCACCACCCATCGACACAAAACCTAGCTGGGGGCCCTGCCAATCAGCCGAGCGGCACCTGAATCTCTTGTCTCCGTTTAGAAACGAAGCTGCAGGAGTTCTCGGTGGAGGAGCGGGCCGTGCTCCACATCCTCACCCAGGTGAACGTGGTCCGGAGGGAGTGTGAAATCGTAAGTAGCCCAGCGTGGGGCGCCCTGCCGGGAGCTGGCCTCCTGTACAGCCGCACTGCCCCACTCACCGTGTCCAGCTCTTGTTCCCTCTGCCGGGGAGGGCTGTGCAGGACGGGAGCTCGTCTCCTGCAATTTGCTGGGCAGGGACCCAGATCTGTCGCTCCCCATCTCCAACAGCAGGATGCTGGGGGCCTGGGCGTTGGAGCAAGGGTCTGCCAGGCGCCCAGCCCGTCGGGGCTCTGCCCAGGCCTGCGACCCTCCTCGGAGCCTTTCTCCAGCCCGCTCAGGGCCTGGCACCTCATCCCCCTTTTGTGTTTTGCATTGGCAGAAACTGGAGGCGACTGATTTTGACGAGAAGAAGGAAATAAATAAGCGGAAGCAAATGATCCTGGAAGGAAAGGTGAGCAGGGCTTCCTACCACTCCTGCCAGCTGACCTGGCAGGGAGCAAGACCCGGCCCCTCCATCCCCCTCGGCCTCATTCCCGCTTCCGGGTGCTTTGAGAGGGGGGTGACGAAGAGAGGCCTCCGAACATGTTGGGAACCAAGGTCCATCAGCCCCTCTCCAGAGTCAGTCACGCTTCAGAGAGCAGGGTGGGCGCAACGCACAATTATTCCATGGTGGGGGAGCAGATTGAGGGGGGGGGTGGGGGAATGTCAGCACAGGGCAGCGCTAGGAAAGTGGAGAGCCAGGCCTGGGTTAGGAGAAGCCAAGTGGGCGCAGAGAGGGGAGGCGAGGTGCCCAGATTTGCACAGGCTGGAACAGAGCCCAGGAGTCCTGGCATCAGGTGCCCTGTTGGGACCAGGCCCCCTCCTGTGGGCGAGGATGAGCTCCAGGCAGCTGGGGCAGGCAGGGCTGGGCGGCCTGTTGTCAGCTGCTCGGCGTCTGCCCGTGCAGGACCCGGACCTGGAGGCGAAGAGGAAGGCGGAGCTGGCCAAGATCAAGAAGAAGAACAAGCAGTTCCGCGAGAGGGTCCAGCAGACGCTGCAGGAGAAGCAGCAGCTGCGGCAGAAGAGGCGGCTGCAGAAGAAGGCGCAGTGGCAGCAGAGGCGAGCAGCCCCGGAGAAGTGAGAGCCCCCGGCACGTACCGCTGGGGACCGGGGGAGCTGCTGCCCGGGGCTCCTGTCCCCTAGAGACTCCAGCTGGGAGTGGGTGATGTGGAGGCTCAGACTTGCTGTTGGTGTTCGAAGGGAAAAGGCTCGTTCTGCCAGTGTCTCCCTTCTCCCTCCCGGCCAGAGCCTCGGCTGGTGGCCCCTCCTGCCGCCAGGACGGGGCTCCGGGGTGTCCCCTCCCCGCCCCCCCCAAGCACAAAGGAGAGATCCAAACTGGGTGAGCTGGTCCTGGCCACGGAGATTCTCGGTTCCTCACCTGCTCCCGCCCTTCCCAGGGCTGGTGCTGGCCCCTTGCTCCGGGTTAGATCAGCAGCTGCTTCCCGCGTCTGACTCCAAAATCTCTGAGCGGGGCCCTGGCTTCCTGGCCCAGCTGGGGCTGTGAGGAGAGGAGAGGAGAGGAGGCAGGTCTGGTAACCTCCTAATTCACGTCACCCCTGTTGGAAGCCAGCCTGCCCCCAGGCCTCTCGGAGCTTCATTTCAGCTCTGTCCCGCGCTGGGGCTGGCTCCCTCGGGCCCCGCTGCCCACACATACATCTCGGGGCCTCTTCCCTTCCGAGAGTGGCGCTTTCCAGCCCCGGCGCCAGTCCCGCGCCTGCGGGGATTCACACGGCAGCAGGACTCGG